GGCCGCAGAACCTGAAATCTTTCTTGGGTCTAAAGTTTAGGGTTTAGAGGCTAGCGGCTAGTGTTAAGGTAAGGGCTTAGGGTTTAAGGTTTAGGGTTTGGCCGTTCGCGTTCAGGAAGGGTGTTTCGTATTTTCTCACATTGTCATGAAATTGAGGGCCTGCCCTCTCTGCAATTCTACATGGAACCTCCTATGGCCCCTCTTACAGGAACACTGGCCTTTCTGGGCCCCTGGTTCGGATTTCGTGTTCGTTTCGGGGCCAGTGTTGGATGTAGTCTTTGTAACCCTAAACCTAAAACCCTACATCATTGTCTATGAGGTAAAAGCTTAGGGTTTAAGAGTTTAGGGTTTATGGATGTGTTTAGGGCTTTAGGGTTTAGGGTTGGGGGTTTTGTTGCACATGAACCCACTCCTTCACTCCGAGTATGGGTAAGATAAGCTAGTTCAAGAGAGACGTTGTTGTTTAAGGATGCCTGTAGCAAACAAATTCAAATGGCATGAGGCCTATAGACTCCACAATAGCAATGCGTTCTGACCCCCTCTGAGCCGTAAACCCTAAACCAAACCCCACAAGAAAAAGGGCCCGGGATCCGTGGGTTCCTTCTTGTAAGGATCTTCCCAAGATCATGCTCAGTAGTAAGATCATGTCGGATTTTTACATCAACAGAAGGAGTTAGGACAATCCCCCCTATAGCATTAGCTCCTTAATACGGACTTAATAAGGCCTTAATGCGCCTACAATAGTCCCTTGTGGTACCCATTACTGGGTGGGGGATTGACCCAAAGTAGGAGCTAGTGATCAGAGTGGAGGTCATGTTTTGTGGGGACTGTCAAAGTGGACGTTCAATGTTGAGAACTCTAGTTTTTTTGCGGGGCCTGGTTTCTTCTTGCGGCTCTGCGGTTGATGGAGAAAATCCTGCATGACCCCACATAGGCAAAGCATTGACCAAGCCCTACACTCTAACCCGACTTTTACTTGGAGTCACGCAGGATTCTGTCCATCCTACGAGGTGGGGGGACCTTCTTATGTAGCATGACCCTCACATACCCCCCTACATGAGTTCCCTTCATTGGTAACTCGCTTCCAGAAATTATCCTGATCCCTAAATCCTTAAACCTCAAGCGCAACATGAATAGAACTTGCATAGGGTAAAAAGGCACAACACCACACCCAACCCGCCCCGCTCCAAAATCCACCCAAAATTCACCACATTGACCCTATACGATTTATTTAGAAACGAACAGTATGTTTCGCAGGGCTATGCCCTTAGCTTTGAGACCCTGGCGTTGGCCTCCGATGGCAGCAAAAGGCAAGGAATGTAGCCTCAGGATTTAGGGTTTGGGTATTAAGGCTTTGTGTTTGGGGTTCAGGGCTTAGGATCTAGTATGTTGGCCAACCCTAAACCCCAAACCAATCCTAAAACCTAAGCCTGTGTAGACCACAATCCCTAAACCCTAATCCCTAAACCGTGATCCCTAAACCCTAAAACCTAAAACCCTAATCCCTAATCCCTAAATCCTAAAACCCTAATCCCTAATCCCTAAATCCGAAAACCCTAATCCCTAAACCCTAAGCCATCCACTGTAGTTCTTTCAGCTTCACCTCAGGGTTCCTGATCCGAAAATCTGGGTTTTCAGAGTCCTCACCAAGCCTGCGGCGACTGCTTCGAAAGTCCCAGGATGTAGGGCTTATGGTTGGGGATCTAGGGTTTAGGGTTTGGGGTTTAGGGTTTAGGACCGAGGGTTTAAGGTTTGAGGTTTAGGATTCAGGTTTTTGGGTTTCCCCGTAGGATCATGGTCTTGGTCAGCTTTAGGTTTCAGGCTGTAGGTTTTAGGGTTTCAGGTGCGTAGCAGTTTCTCCGGTAGAAGCCTTACATAACCCTTATCTAGTTCTAGTGTGCCCCCATATACGCCTTATGTGAGCCTTATGTAAGGGTACCCACCTGGTACTTCCCCACCTGAACCTTCCCCTTAATTCGGATGAGAGTGATCAAGAATCAAAGGTTTTTTGATGTAGGTTTTTAGGGTTCCTGGAGGTCTAGAAGGGAAAATATTGGGAAACGAGTTTTGAGCAACTACCATATCTACGTTTATGGTTACGGGTAGTGAATTTGGGGCCGAGGGTGCGGTATTAGAGTTTGGATTTTTGGGGTATAGGATTTTGAGCCCCGATTTTAGGGCCTAGGGTTTAGGGTTCTGAGTTGAAGAAGAATTCAGGGCTTAGAGGGAGTGTCATCCCGAATAATTAGTAAGGACTCCCCGACCCGCTACGAGTGATAAGAGCGAGTAAGGATAATTACATTGGCGCCCTCCACATCTTTCTTTTGCCGCTGACTGTTCACCTGCAACAAGGGTATGAACATGTTCTACAGGGGCATTTTGCGCACAAGGCATTTACGAAAAGAATGAATATGTGGACTCGCGTACTTCCCGAAATCCTAAATCCAAAGCTCTATTTGAACTCCAGTTCGTACAGCCGATGCCCAGTATGTCCTGGGCACAAACCCCAAACCTTCAACCACCAAACAAGCACCCACATACCATACACCTCTTAACCCCTACCCTTCATCGAAAACCCTACATCCCAGATCCTAAACCCCAAATCCTCAACCCTAATCAGAAGCATTCCAGTAGAAAAAAAGCCCAAGAACAAAACAACGAAACCTCCCATAAGCCCTGGAGCCTTTTGGCAGGAAGGGTCTCTACACCCAGGCAGACAGAGCCTTGCAAACTTTGCCACGGCCTTATTGGTAGCTTCTAGCTTTTGCCAGATCAATGTGTAAGAAGGGCAGGGTTATTTAGGGGTTTCGGGTTTAGGGTTTAGGGTTTAGGTTTCTGATGCAGGGTTATAGGGTTTACCTGTGACCCCACGTACCTACAGTTTTGGGGGCTATACCTACTAATTAAGGGGTAATTGCTACTAAACTGTAGGTAGATGGGGTTACAGGTAGGGTTTATAGGGTTTAGGGTTCAGATGCAGGAGTCTAAGCTTTTCTGGGGTTGACAATGTTAGGAGTCAGCTGCTGCTGTCGCACGTGCAAGGTTTAAGGACAAGGTCTTTTGGCTATCCCGACCCTTCTAAAAGGAATATATGACGATCGCATGACTTATCATGTTTTGAAAGACATGTGTGGATGACTTCTATATGATTATAGACGGTCATCGCGGGGTTCGGGTTACCCAAGATTACCCTGTCACAGCTGTATCTGCAAAGTCATCCAGCAATTTGGTTCCCCACAAGCCGAAATACCAATTGTGGTACAAGTTTTTCGGACGTATATGAGCTATAGTCTAGACTCCTTAAAGGGGGGTTATATGGGGGCTTATATAGGGGACTACTATAGGGGTTACTAAGGGGGATACTAGGAGTTTAGACTATAGCTCATATGATTCTTGTGGGTTCGCATTCCTCAGGGTTCGGATTCCTCCTTGTGTGCATAAAACGTCTGCAAACCCAAGGAGGCGAAGTTACAAGCGCATGCGACCCGAATTCCTACTTAAGAACTTCGCTCTCAATCTTTCCCCAGAACCTCGAAGCCTCAACGCTGAACTCTAAACCCTATAAACCTTAAGCCTATCGCCCGGCATCTGCACTGCAGCGGAAGGTTAGGCGAAGAGGCCAGGAAGATCGTCTTCCAAGACGATTCGGACTGGTCCAAATTTCGCTGCGTTTCTCAGCTGCAGTTTGTGTTCAGGATTTAGCGATAAGGGGTTAGGATCTAGGCTCAGGGCTTAGGATCTAGGACGTATCCCGAAGACCAAAGAAAAATAAACGACATGAACTAATTCTAAACGTTAAGCCCCTAAATCCTCGTAACAGCTGTTTCCAAACCCATCCCTAAACCCAAAACCCTGAAGGGATCCTGATCTGCAGACGTTAGTGCTTTTGGGGAGCAGCGATAGGATTTAGGGTTTACCTGAACCCCAAAAGTATGTAGTAGAATACTGGCCTTTTGGGCTATTTTTGAGGGTATTGGGCGATTATTTTACCTAATTTTGGGAGGTAGGCCTTAACCCTTGGAACGTTGGGCTATTTTTGAGTGTATTGGGCGATTGTTTTACCTACTTTTGGGGTTCAGGTAAACTTAAACCTCAAACAACCCTAAACCCTAAACCCTAGATATTGAGGTTGGATTTAAGGTTCGGGGCTAGGCTCTGCAAGGATTTTGGGGCTAGGGTGTAGGCCTTAACCCTTGGATCGTTTGAGTTCCACGCCTGGATTTTGCAGGTTCAGACCGTAAGGATCAGGGTTTAAGGTTTAGGATTTAGGGTTTAGGGTCTAGGATTTAGGGTTCAAGTATAGGATGTAGGGTTTAAGTTAGGAGGACCCCCCACCCTGTAATAGTGGTATAGTAGGAATATAAGAGGACCCGAATATAATCCCCATTATCCATTGTAGTCACTTTTACTGGGTGGGAGGTCCACGTGAGGTTTAGGGTTCATGATTTAGGGGTTTGCGTTTCAGGGTGTAGAATTTTAGGGTTTAGACGACTCGAGGTGCCTCCCTAGTTCCTTTGGGTGGTTTGTAGGGTTTAGGGTTTGGGGTAGACGGTTTAGGGTTCAGGGTTTAGTTTTTTGCAACTTTTTTTTCAGCTATACGACCTTAAAAGAACTTACGAAGGAGGGTCTGAGTATTTTTCAACCTTCAGGCTACTTGAACCCCCCGGGGTTTGTAGAATAATTGCTTTTGGGGCTATGTTAAGGGGTTTCGGGCCTATTATTTTACCTACTTTGGGGTTCGGGTATCCCCCCTAAACCCTAAACCCCAAAACCCTAAACCCAGGGCCGTGGCTTCCCCTACTGCCCCCCTTATACCACCCCAGATTCCCCCTTAGGATTTCTAGATGATAAGGGTGGTCAACAGTAGGAGAATCGCACGGGAATCCATGACATAAGGCTTCAGGTCCGCCTAAACGTGTTGCTCAGGCATGTCACCAGCTAAGAAAGTCAAGGGCCAGGGGTTAGATATGGGTTGTTCTCAAAAATTATGGGCCCCTTCTGGGTATAGATTATATTGCGGCACCTAATAACTATTAATCAGAAAATGGACCCTAATCTTGGGAACTACCCATATGAGTTATAGGCTAAACTCCTTAAAAGAGGAATATATAAGGGATTATATAGGGGACTACTATAAGGGTTATTAAGGGGGATACTAGGAGTTTAGACAATGGACCCTAAACCCTAAACCCTAAACCCTAAAATTTCCGGTGTGTTTCATCTGTTTTTGGCTCTGGGCCATGGCAGTTGAGGCTGGAAATTTACTTTCCGGGGGTCTCTCCATAGCTATAGGGTTTAGGGTTTAGGGTACGGTAACAAAATTCAAGTTGAAGGCTTACAGCAGGAACAACGACTAGTGACTAGCACATGGTCCTAGATTTTCTGTAAAGAAAGGGCTTTCAACATAATATTTGGAATTGTGTCTTTCGCTTGTACATGAGGATTCAATGACCCAAACCCTAAACCCTAAACCCTTAACCCATAGCTCCAACTCCTAACCCTAAGCCCCAGACGTTTTTCGCATTCGCCCAAGGGGTTCTCTTCTTCGCCTACATCTCATTATTAATGCAGATGGGCTTGCAGGGCACATTCCCATCTCCCGAAGATTCAGCACCCCCCCCCTCCCCCCCCTGCCCACGCTTATATCACATATTCCCATTATGGTATACTATACAGTATGAGGAAATAAGTGAGATTAGATTCAAGGTGCCGGGAACCCCACATCCCAATCCCCAAAAGCAGCGGGCATGGGATTTTGATGTAGCGTTTATTCAGGCTTTAGGGTTTAGGGGCTACAGATTTTGGATTAAGTTGACTCTGCCACCCTTAGAGCTAGTCTAGGTTGTTTAAGGTTTAGGATTTAGGGTTTAGTATTTTGCATTTAGGAATTAGGGTTTTGGGTTCAGGGCTAACCCCTAAAGCCCTGAAACCCTAAACCCTAAACCCAAAACCTTAAAACCCTAAACCCTAAACCCTAAACCCCAAACCCCTAAACTCCTAAGCCCCTCAACCCTAAACACTAAACGCCCTAAGCCCTAAACCC